TAATAGAAAGCATTGTAAAGTATATGCACACAACAATAAGAAACTGATTTCCACCAATCTAAATTTAACAATGTCTTTTTATTAACATGTATAATCTCACTTGTGAATTTCAAGGCCATATACATTTATTTCCACAAATTGCTGCAAGAGTCTTTGCCTTCAGTGTTTAAGAAAATGAAAGCATTCCTGCCAGTACTTTTCCTACCTGTAAAACCATCTGTCACCACTCACCTCACCAGTACCCTGACTAGAGGTAGGTCCAACTACTTGCCATCAACAACACTGATCCAGCTACACCAGCTTCTTTATACTATGTCATGTATCATGTACACGTATATATATGTACACATAACAAATACACTAAAACTGATCCTATTACATAGTCACATCATACTAGCAGTTAGTGACAAGTACTGCCATCTATGAACTAAAATCAATAATCCCATTGTCATTCTTACTAATTCCTTCTTATCTGTCCACCCTAATATGTTATGATGTGACTACATCTTCTTCCAAAAAATGTCTGTCTCGCTAAATCCTCGACCTGACACCTTATCAAGAAACCTTCCTTTCATGGTTCCACACTTTTCTATCTGCTGACTGACTGTCCATACCTGACTTCTGGGAGTTGTGCAGAGACTGTGATGAAGATGAATTGGACATGCTCATCTCTCCCTGAAGCATCTTCTTGTAGCTCGGGTCCAGCGAGTTCAGCAGTTTGTCTGCCTCGTCCTTGAAGTGGCCCGCAAAGCCCCAATATGCTCTGAAGTAAGGCTTTTTGGTTAAAGTCTCTGCTCATATGTGAAAAAAAAAATACTGACATTTCTCCCCCTAAATGCCCAATATCCATTTTTCTTTTAAAGTTCTAATAATAAAATACCAGTATTCTCTTCTCAGATTTTGCTTCATCTTGGCAAAATCAAAATTTTTAATCATTTTTCCAAACAACATTTACAATACCCAATACCCAATTACCCAAAAGGACTCAACTGAAAAGGACTTACTTTCTGGAGAAGGCTCTTGCTTCGGGATCAGCATCTGTGATTCCCTTCTTAATTGTCTCAGCAAGGATGAGAACGTGCTTTTCCATAGAATGAGTGGGCCACGTATGCACTAATTGATCTAAAACCTCACACAAGACTTTGCGGATCTCTCTATTCTTGCTACTGATCTCTCGCAAAAGGATAGGAATTAGTTTATGGTGGTGAGTGTTTTGAATTATAAACCGAATCGTGACAACGCCAGAGGATGCCATCACCTGTAATTGTGAAAGAAAGAAATTGAAATCAAGTATGAAAGCAATTAAAACTTAAGTTAATTAAAAATGGATAAAAGTTCCATATTTACACCTTCATATGCTTTATGTACATATAAAATATCATTCAGATTGTACGTACCTTGGCACTGTTGGGTATTAAGTAAATAAGATTTGGCAGGACAGTCTCACACAAATGGTCAACCTTATGGTGAAGTTCCTGGGACATGTATGCAACGGTGATACATGCTTCTCGGACCACCTGTGACCTACAGAAGATATGCAAGTTATAAAGCTGACAATTTCAATTCAGGCATCTTTGCTCTGGAACAAATATATAACTCTAAAAAACAAAATAGTTCCACAAGCTCTTAAATCTTAAATCAGAAAATAAATCTGATGTATACTCTTCTAAAACTTGCTTTGAAATAATCACGATTCATCATTATTCTCTACAGCCATTAAAATTAACTACTGCGACTTACCTGAGATCTTTGATAGACAATTGCATGGCAGGTTCCAAAAGCCGAAGATGAGGATAAAACTCCTCATACCCATTGGCACCAGCAATTAAGAGACTTCGCAATTTTTTCAGCTGTAAAGATACATTTCAGCCTTGGTTAAAAACTCCTCTGTAACAGTCAGTATGAGAGTTTATGCAACTGCAAATACCATCAGTACTTTATTTCCCACTGCAAAACAAAACATACATAAGTCTATACTTACTGCATCTACTCTCTTGTCCCAGTCATTACTGGGGCTGGAGATCACCTCCCTGATCTTGGTGAGGCTGTCCTCCAGTTCCCGGGCAGAGTAAATGTTAACTTTAGGAACATCCTCAAAAGAGGCAAAGAACGAGGCTTCATCCACAGCTCCAGCAGGAGCTAAAGGGAGAAATAATTCAGTTGATTATTTTTTGTATTGGTAGTGGAATACATTGGTATTAATGTCATACATTTATTACAGTGTTTATCTATTCTATAAAGCATCTGTAATTTATCAACCATGAAAAATAAGCATTAAGACTAATAACTTTTTACATAAATGCAATAATATATACTAAGCCAATCAATTTGCTTAAAGAAAATGCAAATCATTCACTATCTAGCAATTTTAGGCTTTAGCTCAAATCCTCTCAGAAAATTTTTATAAATACAAAGGTGTATTATTTGAAAATGAAAAAGTTTAAAAATGCTGTTAGATTTATAGGAAAGGCATAGAGACAGATTCCCCAGCTTCTTGTTC